TTTTTTGAGACAAAGTCTCACCCTGTTGCCCAGGCTGGAGTGCAATGGCACAATCTCAGCTCACTGCAACCTCCGCCACCCAGGTTCAAGCGATTCTCCTGCTTCAGCCTCCCAAGCAGCTGGGATTACAGACATGTGCCACCATGCCTGGCTAATTTTTCTATTTTTAGTAGAGATGGGGTTTCACCATGCTGGCCAGGCTGGTCTCAAACTCCTGACCGCAGGTGATCTGCCCTCTTCGGCCTCCCAAAGTGCTGGAATTACAGGCGTGAGCCACCTTGCCCAGCAGAAATATCTTTTAGAAACAGAAAGAAGACAAAGTCTTATGACAGGTCAGCCGGTGGTAACCTTCACCCTCTGCTGTGGGAGGTCAGGAGAGTGAATATGCTGGTTCCCAAACACCAGACCCCACCCCCACGGGAGATTTTTAATAATCAGTATGTCTAGAGGCAGGGGTAAGAAATCGTACTTTTTAAATCACCCCAGGTTATGATAATTCTGATGATTGGCAGATAGAAACCATTAGAGTAAATGCCGGGTTTCTTTCAGCTATGAACATTTGTTTTTCTCTCCTTTTCTTTTGCTTGCTGGCAATTTTTTCCCACCAGCTAGAACAAATCAGCCCAGCTGATTCTACTAGGCCTGAAAGAAAGCAAACTTGGGGATATTGAATTCCTCACAGAACCTTGGCAAAAATACAGGTGAAACATGCTTGTGGGGTGAGCCCTTCCACTATGTGCAGAATGGGACAGCTCCATTTTCACCCCTACCATCCCCATCATAAAGACCAGCCTAAATATGATTTTAAGCCTGGTTCAGCAGTCCCATTCTACAAAACGGTACTGAAATACAAAAACTGTCATGGTCAGGAACTGCTGGAGCTATGGGTTGAGCCCTGCATTTGAACACCAGACTTCACTTCCTGGTTAGTATCCTCCCCACCACATGATAGTGACAAAGCTTATTTGGCTTCCCCCAGATAGCTCCAGCTCTCCCTGGATTCATTCATTCATTCGGCATTCATTCTCCTGCAGTACCTGAATGGATCCAAATGTCACATCATTTCCCTTCATGCAGCAGGGCAGGGGCACAGTTGTGGGGAGGTGGGTGACATTCCCTCCCCTAAAACCATCCTCCTGCCACACACTGAGAGATCCCCTAGTGAGAGACTGTTCCGGAGGGCACCACTGCCTGCCGAGACCACTAGGAGGCCTTGGGACCTGCAGGGTTAAGCATCTCCAGAGCTGCTTCCTGCATCATCAAAGCTGACTTGCCCACACAGCCAAGGCTCAATGAGCTAAATATGGTCATAAAGCCTAAGCCTCATCATTGTTTGTCATCCTTCCTCCTGCATCACCTCTTGTGGCCTGTTACTTAGACTCACAGGATTGAGAGCTCGAACAAATCTCAGACTTCAAGTCTTGGGTTTTGGCAAAGCTTGGTATGTGTATGAGGGGAGTGGGGAACGCCTGTTTCAGCCAAAACAATTCTATTTATGTTTTGTTTGTTTGTTTGTTGTTTTTTGAGAGGAGTCTCGCTCTGTCGCCAGGTTGCAGTGCAGTGGCACAATCTCGGCTCACTGCAACCTCCATCTCCCAGGTTCAAGCGATCCTCCTACCTCGGCCTCCCGAGTAGCTGGGATTACAGGTGAATACCACCAATCCTAGCTAATTTTTGTATTTTTAGTAGAGATGGGGTTTCACCATGTTAGCCAGGCTGGTCTCAAACTCTTGACCTCGTGATACACCCGCCTCGGCCTCCCAAAGTGCTGGGATTACAGGCATGAGCCACTGTGCCCGTCCTGTTTATGTGGTTTTTTTTTTGTTTGTTTGTTTGTTTTGAGATGGAGTCTCACTCTTTCGCCCAGGCTGGAGTGCAATGGTGTGATCTTGGCTCACTGCAACCTCTGCCTCCCAGGTTCAAGCAATTATCCTGTCTCAGCCTCCCAAGTAAGCTGGGATTACAGGTTCATGCCACCACACCCCGCTATTTTTTGTATTTTTAGTAGAGACAGGGTTTCACCATGTTGACCAGACTAGTATCAAACTCCTGTGACCTCACCTAATCCGCCCACCTTGGCCTCCCAAAATTCAGGGATTACAGGCGTGAGCCACCATGCCTGACCTGTTTATGTGCTTTTGTATAACATGTTAAGAGTTCTGGTCAGTGTTGTGCTGGTAAAAGTTTACTAGCTGGCTCTCACTTGGAGTGCTGAAACCCTGATTTGTAGCATTTGCTTATTTCTGTGTTGTAAATAGTTCCACCAAAGTCCATTTCAAGCCACCAACTGGAAATCCCAGTGCAAAACTGGGAAATGCACATAACTGGCTCTTGGGAGCCAGTGCAAGCCAGCTGCAGCGTGGCACTGGTTCTGGCCTTTTTTTTTAATTTTTTTATTTATTTTATTTTTTTATTTTTTTGAGACGTAGTTTCACTCATGTTACCCAGGCTGGAGTGCAATGGCGCGATCTCGGCTCACCGCAACCTCCGCCTCCTGGGTTCAGGCAATTCTCCTGCCTCAGCCTCCTGAGTAGCTGGGATTACAGGCACGCACCACCATGCCCAGCTAATTTTTTGTATTTTTAGTGGAGACGGGGTTTCACCATGTTGACCAGGATGGTCTCGATCTCTTGACCTCGTGATCCACCCGCCTCGGCCTCCCAAAGTGCTGGGATTACAGGCTTGAGCCACCGCGCCCAGCCGCCTTTTTTTTTTTTAAAGACGCGGGCTTGCTCTGTTGCCCAGCCTGGAGGGCAGTGGCATGATCTCAGCTCACTGTAACCTCTGCCTCCTGGGCTCAAGCCATCCTTCCGCCTCAGCCTCCCAAGTGTCTGGGACTGCAGGCATACAACACCACACACAGCTAATTTTTGTATTTTTAGTAGGGACAGCGTTTCACTATGTTGCCCAGGCTGCTGTTGAACTCCTGAGCTCAAGTGATCCTCCCACCTCAGCCTCCCAAAGTGCTGGGGTTACTGGCATGAGCCACCATTGCCCAGCCTGGTCCTTCTTTTTAAAAAGAAGTGTGGGTTAGGTGCAATGGCTCACGCCTGTAATCACAGCACTTTGGGAAGCTGAGGCAGGGGGATCACCTGAGGTCATGAGTTTGAGACAGGCTGGCCAACATGGCGAAACCCATCTCTACTAAAAATACAAAAATTAGCCAGGTGTGGTGGTGCATGCCTGTAATCCCAGCTACTTGAGAGGCTGAGGCAGGAGAATTGCTTGAATCTGGGAGGCAGAGGTTGCAGTGAGCTGAGATTGCACCACTGCACTCCAGCCTTGGGTGATGGATGGAGCAAGACTCTGTCTCAAAAATAAAAAGTGTGAAGGCTTTTCTATTACTACCTTTTAAAGATGAGGCAGCTGAGGCCCAGAAAGATTAATTGTTGCTGAGAGCCACACAGCTTACTAGGACCAGATTCCAAAGTCCCTGATCCCTGAACCACCAGATCCCACACTCCACAATCCAACTGGGCTGGACTGTCTAGGCAGGGAGGAGAGGAGGCAGACATCACTGCAGCAGCGCCAAGGCAGGAGCGCAGGGGGCGATGACCAATGTCAAAATAAGTGGCCAAAGAGTCTCCCAGGCAACCTTTGCTGGGCAAAACCAGACCAAACCCAAACAAACCCCTCAAACTTGAAGAGGCCTATTTTGAACCAACCCTGTTCATGTCCTCATGGAGTAAATTATTCCCCATTCTGGCTTGGATGAAACAAGAAGCATCCTTACCCCGTCTTCCCCAAGTCTCTCTCCCAAAGCTACGAAAAGTCCTTGGGCAATGCACTGTATGTGGGTTGAGGGGGTGGGGTGGGAAGTGGGAAAAAACAAACCCTTTTAGACAAGTCCAGGAATAATTATTTCAGCAGCTGTTATATTTTCTTCCCGGGTAAGGAGCATAAGAAGGAAGCGTGGTGCAGTGCTGAGTGGAGGCCTGGGTCTTCTAGAGCCCTGGATTCTCACTCTGGCTCTGCTACTCATTTGGGTGGTGGATCTCTTCCCCTCTCTGGACATTAGCTTCCCCATCTGTACAATGAGAGGCTAGAACTATGCTTTCCAACATCTTTTTCTTTTAAAATGCCATGAATCACCATGGAGAGAAATGGAGACCACCCAATAATGCAGTAGTGTTTCTCCCCCAGTCCTTACATCCCGCTGTTTCACCAACTTCAACAAACGCCCTTTCCAGGCACCTCTGAAGATGCTCCTCACTCCATAGACAATACCCCGCAAAGGCCTCTTCCAAGTTTCTCTGACGTCTTCCAGGATTGACTTGGGGCTGCCCCAGCCTGGCATCTGGTCTCCTGTGTCCTAGTCATTCTTTGTGTACATGTTTCTTCCCTAGGAGCTGGGGTCACCGTGCCAAGGAGGAGGAATGAGAAGGGGGGTCATCTGTTTTGCATGGCCTCTGCCCGTCTACCCTCCCCACCAGGGTCTGGTTTGCCAGAGGAGGGGAAGGAGGGTAGGGATGGGTGGTAGAAGAACCCTGTGACCGCCCCCCCCGACCAGCCTGTCCTAGAGCTTCCCATCCGACTGTCTTCTCCTCCACAGAAGGAAAATGGGTCACGCTCCACAAGGGCCTGTTATCGCCAACCTGGCCTGCTGCTGCCTGATAGAGCCCAGCCCTCCCCCGCCAGATCTCATTAAGGGGTCACCGCTTATGCTTCCCAGCCGCCCCCCATCCATCTTTGGCCATGGATGACAGACTGGGCCCGGAGGCTGATGTCCGGCAGGTGATGGGGTTAATGGCAGAAGAGGGTAGAGGGCAGAGGTCAGCCAACTCACAGTGGTGGGAGGGCAGTCTGGGAGGCCCTGTCTCCACTGCAGTCAGGCAGCCCCTCAAATTATAGCACCTGGGGGAGGGGTGAGCCCTGGAGCCCTCCATCCGCAGGGAAGCAAGGTGGGCAGTATCAGCCATCTTGGAAGCAGATGGTGGGAGGAGAGAGTGTTAGCCTGGGACGAAGAGGAGTGAAGACACTTTGAAGGGGAAGGAGAGCTGGAAAGAAGAGGGGGAAATTTCTATATTTGTGGGCTCAGTGAAAACATTGCTTCTTGGAAGCCTGGATGCTCTTTGGCAAGAAGCACATATTTGCAGATGCGTATGAAATCAGGTGAGTATTTTGAAGATGGGTGCCCAGGACCCATTCTGTTTTCCTTCCCAGTTGCCTAGTTCAGCACCCAGCACTGTGGTTAGGAGTAAGTTTCCAGAGTCAAATAATATGGATCTAAGTCTTTTTCAGGTCCTTTCTATGTGACACGCGTAAGTTACTTAAGCTCTTTGAGCCTGATTTTCTCCATCTGTGCAATGTAGCTTCTGTGAGGATGAAATGACACTGCACATGGGAGAGACAGTACCTGGTCCTGTGCTGTGCTAGGATTAGCTGCTCTTGAAAGTAGCGATCTCATTGCTTTAATTACTGCAATCACCTTTGCTGCCTCTCTCCCATCCCCAGGCTTTTCCCAAGCCGTGTGCCTGGGACCTTCCTCGTTTGACCTCCTACATGCCTGTGATCACCTCCTAGCCTGCCCCAGGGAGCTGCTGAATGCTGCTTTGGGGGCAGCTGCCCCCATCATGGCTCCCAGAGGGGAGGCCCCACAGAGACAAGGGTTAGTCCCTCCAGGCCTTTGAAGCCCAGGGAGGGAAGGGGGAGGGGCTGCCCTGTGCTCCTGACCTGGGGGGTGAGGCTCACCCCCCGACCATGGGAGGAGAACAGAGGAACAATGGGCAGTGGAAGCCCGGCTCCCACGCTGGCCAGCTGGCAGTCAGGAGAGGGGGTGGGGTAGGGGTGGGAGTATCCCCTCCTCAGAGCAAGCAGAAAGCTTCAAGAGGCTGGGGTCTCCCCAAAAGGACCCTGAATGTCAAAGGTATCCTATGGAGACGCGGAGAGAGATTTTTGCAATGTGGCTTCCTGGACGGAGGTTGTCCAGAGCCCCCCATGATAGGGTACAGGGAATGCCCCCAGTTCCAGGGACCCCCTCAAGCATACCTTGCTCTCACGGTGGGCAAAGAAGCCAACCAGCACCACTCTGCCCTCCTTCTCAAGCCTGGATGGAGTGCCCCCGCTCTGGGGGTGCTGATCACCTCCATTAGGTCCTCAATCTTGCGAGGATAATGCATGGCCCAGGCTGGGCTGGGGGAGGAGGCCCCTGTGGCAGAGAAGCCAGGAGACAGGACGCAGTAGCGCCTGAGCAGAATACCAAGCAACTGCCTGGTTGCCTTGGGCCTGAGGCCACCCCTGGCGGCCAGCAAACTTGGGCAAGGTGGGGGTCTGTCCCCTGGCTACCTCTACGCCTTCATGCCCAGC